AATAATCCCAAATAATCCCAAATAATCTCAAATAATCCCAAATAATCTCAAATAATCCCAAATAATCCCAAATAATCCCAAATAATCCCAAATAATCCCAAATAATCCCAAATAATCCCAAATAATCCCAAATAACCCCAAATAATCTCAAATAATTCCAAATAATCCCAAATAATCCCAAAAAATCTTTTTTGGATTTTAGAATCTGTAAAATCCCAAATCCGCTTTTTCCCCCTTGGTATTTTAATATGTTCTAAACTTTTTACATACAATGATTCTCGAAGTTAAGTATGAAAGCATAGATGATATTTAATTTTTAGACAATATGGCTATAATCGAATTGATAAGTTGTTGGATTTATTCAGATTTTTAGTTTTAGATTGGATTCGAGACACATCTTTAATCGATACTGACTGTTTGGATATGATTGCTGTTTGATAACGCATGATAGTAACATGATCTCAGTTCAATGACAAACACAACATGATGCATCAACGACAAATATTCATTCATTTGTATTTGAGAAAACTGTCAAATCATAATGATGGAACATGGAACATATCAATTCATTCTGTATCGAATCGCATTTGGAGTTCTCCTTGTTGAAATATTCATAATACTTTTGTTACCAAATCAATTATTAGCAAACTTGATTGAATAATCATTTGCTATTATTTGACCTGATAAACAACAATTTATGGTGAATTTTTATGATATTGAAATTAATTTTCTATCCTCACGACATTTTCGTCTATCTCTCGCTTTTCAATTGGCAGCCATGATATGGATCATTTCACTTTTACTCGTCGATGGATGCATTTTTCAAGTACGACAATTATTTGAACACAATATCTGTCCGCTACAGAAAAGTGATTGTTTTATTGTTGAAAACGTGGTCTCAAATGTAAGAGTCAATGGTGAGCCTGGTCAAGCATTAACGAATTCAACATCATCGAATGTCATCTGTTTTTTCTGGGCCTATAAAGAAGTAAATGCCGTACGTATACTCAATCAAATAGGTATCGGTTCGTGTATCTTCTCTCTTCTGTGCCATACTTTCAAATGTCTTTGTTGCTTGTCACATAAATGGCTAGGTTTGCTTTTGATTATTCTATTCACTCTCGGTGGAATAACAGTGATCATTTTGATATATACTGTAATAATTCGTATCTCAATGGCCAGAATGTTACTACTAATAGGATTTCTGGGTCTATTCATAAATGTTATTCAACTGTTTCAATTTACAAATCATCATCGACACAAAACTCAGCCGCCAACGAACTCGATAAGCTTGAATTAATTATTTTTGAAAACAAATTCCAAATCTATGGGGACATAATCAAATGAATATTTGAATTTTAAGGAAAAATCAACACTTCGACAATAAACGAACATAATTATTAGCTCTCTTGACGAACTTTTCTGATATTGAAAAAAATAATCATACAGCACTAATCTATAGAAAACAAGTATCATAATCATAACGTACTTGGAACAAAGAAGAAAACAAACTGAAATAACAATTTCGTTTCACTTTTGAACGGCCATTTTCTATTGTTTTCTGCCATTTATTTCTAGTTATAGTTCTAACTGAAGCTTTACATTGAAATATTCGTGTGAATACATGTTCCAGACCATTGTGCTACATCAGTTGAATAAGATTTACTCATGTTGAAAATAAGCTGAACAGGTATGATGTGTATCAGGTTTAAAAACGAAATCATTGGTATAACTAATGAAAAATCCGTAAAAAATCAATTCTAGTTGAATCTACTGTAAACCCCTCCCCATAATAGAAGCCCCTCCCATATTAGAAGCCCCCCCTTATTAGAAGCCCCCTCTGAGATGAACAACGTGTTTGACGTATTAGAAGCCCCCCTAATTTTTCGAAAAAATTTTAAAATTTTCAAGATTTTTTTTCGCATTTTCATGCTAAAACTGCTAAAATCTTTCGATTTTCAGGTAAAAAGTTGGCTGACTCTTATCAAGCTTAGCTAACATCTGAAAATAATGTCAAAAATCTTCTGGAAAACTCATAAAAACCTTGAAAGTCGCTAAAAACCCTTGCGAACCCTTTTTCCTGGCAGTTTACGAAATTTTTTTGAGACTTAATAGAAGCCCCCTCCAGAAGCTTCATATGATAGACATATTAGAAACCCCCGGGGGCTTCTAATATGGGGAGGGGTTTAGTCTAGAATATGAAATGTAGATTCGATATATTGATCAATCACTTCGACCATACGTTTTTTTGTTCACTGGTTTCGTGATGCATCAAATGCACTTAGTAATCAGAAAACGACCTAGTTCATTTGGTTTATGTACTCTATTCCTATTCTCGAGTACTAAGCTTGATTATTATACGAATGTTCAGGTCAAATAACACAGCATTGAAAAAAAGCTGCTGATGCTCCAGCGAATCATTATTGAGTGAGTGCTACACAATATTCATTGAGCATAGACTATAAGATGTGAACACTAACTTTAACATATTATTTGATTTCTACAAATGAAGGAATGATTGTCTCGATACTCTAGCTTTTATTGCCATCTTCAATTTATTGAGCCTTCAGCAAGGTGAAAAAATACAACATTGATGTATACTTTTAGTCAAAAAGAAATACAATGCACGAATAGCAATAGTGTCATAAAATATCGTCGAGTTTTTGGTGGTCGAATTTTTGAGCCGATTATTCATTAAAAGATATGTTTAACGTTTCGATAATCAATTAATATTTGCTAACAATGAGTTAAAACTTTTTCGTCAAAAAGAAAGACATTGGAAAGCCAGATACAGTTGGGTGTGGATATCAATCTTGTGATCACTCACATCAACAACCACACCCACACCCTCCTCAAGAAACCTGATCACTGTCGAACAGTCTTGTAATAATTCATTTTGACCTTATCAAAGACGAGTTTTGCCTACACTCTAGATTAATTGGGGTGTGCATGTGGGTGTGTCGAAGTACGGAACACCAACATCCACACCCACATCCATGCCGTTGTTCAATTCTTCCATTCGGATCAATAACTGACCCAGACGATGCCATCCTAAGGAATCTGACGTCTTGTTTTGCATCCATTTGGTCAGGCCTGATGATTTGTTGAATCATGTAACTGATATGATTGCTGAACAGCGAATCAAGCGTTCGTACACTATGGTTTTCTAGTGATTCATCAGTTAAACTTGATGCATGAAAACCGAAATATCGGACAGTATGTGTTTCAGACTCATTGATCTGTTCAAAACTCGATATTTCAATCGCTCAATGAGAATCAGTAAACGACAGATGTCAGCAATGATCATTCCATGGATTTCGTACCATATCTGCTTTTCTCAAGGCTTATCCGACAGATTCTCGAATCATCCAGTTTGATAGGCATGCAGATTCAAAGACCAAAGTGTCCTTATCATCATGTAACTATTATGCTATGTCGCTTTCTTCTATTCTTGTACTGAACGAAGACGATGTTTGTCTTGTGAAAAACTCCACATTTGTTTAATTACAACGACTGAATAAACCGTGGAGTTCAATATTCTCAAATTCACATCTATCGTCTCATTCTTTTTTGTTATAAATTAAACTTTTACCAGATACATCTGATTGAATGTCAGTAATATAAGATCATAATAAAAAGTTGCCTTTTTGAACATGGTTTTTTTTTTAATGTTGAAAAGTTCTGCTGAAAACATAGAAATCTGAACCTCTTCAAGGATGAATGTAGCTAAAATAAAGAACGATATCCACATACACCTACACTATCAGGAGGTTTGAAAAACAGCTACTTCTGTCTGTGAATGATTCTTCAAGCATCAAGATTTGCTCTATCGCAATCATTCCAAACATAATAGCGATTGGGAATATTTTTTTTTTTGTTAGATACAACGAAAGAGTTTGAAAGCTTTTCTAACTAGAAAAATGTGCAGAAAGAAGCGTTTCGACAAAAATAAGCAACTGTATGTATTGCCATTGAAATACTGCAGTTCACTGGAGGCCAGTGTCATCAACCAGGCTGACTATGCCTGCTCGATATTTGTCACGATATTTGTGCACATGCATCATGATGAAATCACACACAAGTCCTGCGATGACCATATAGCCGATACCGGAACCTTCAAGTAAAAAACAATCAGTCATCATCAATGACTACTATTCATGTGATCTTACCGATGGCGAGAAACAACTGAAGTGGATTGAATCGTCCTCCGATGCCAGAGATCGATACAATAAAACGAAGACCGTGAATTTTCAATAGAATTCGATAGGTAGTATTGTTCA